ACAGATCTTGTTTCATTTTTCTGCAAATGGGCCTGCAGTTTTGCCAGCACCATTTATTAAACAAACATTTTCTGCCCCATGTAATGGATTTTGGCCCTTTGTCAAAGATCAGCTGACTATAGGTCGATGGATCTATTTCTGGGTTCTCAGTTCTATTCCATTGGTCTTTGTGTTTGTCATTGTACCAATACCAGGCAGTTTTGACTACTGTGGCTATATAGTAGGTTTTAAGATCCGGCAGCATGAGACCTCCTACTTTGTTCTTCTTCAATAGTGCTTTGCTTATCTGGGGTCTCTTTCCTTTCCATATAAAGTTAGTGATTGTTTTTTCCATATCCTTAAAAAATGTTAATGGAATCTGGATTGGGATTGCATTGAATGTATAGATCATTCTGGGTAAAACTGACATTTTCACAATGTTCAATCTTCCTATCCACACGCATGGTATGTTCTTCCATTTATGTAGACCACTTATGGTTTCTTGAAGTAGTTTTTTATAGTTTTCTTTGTATAGGTCTTTTGTGTCCCTCGTAAGATTTATTCTCAGATATTTTCTTTTATTGGTAGCTATTGTAAATGGTATTAATTTCCTTATTTCTTTTCCAGCAATCTCTTTGCTGGTGTAGAGGAATCCAACTGATTTTTGGATGCTGATCTTGTATCCTGCCACGATGCTAAATCTCTCAATTAGTTCCAGTAGATTTTTGACTGAGTCTCTTGGGTTTTCTAGGTATAGGATCAAAGCATCAGCAAATAGGGATAGTTTGACTTATTCCTTACCAATTTGGATGCCTTTGATTTCCCTTTCTTGCCTTACTGCCTGGCTAGGACTTCCAGTACAACGAAGTAGTGATAGAGGGCATCCTTTTCTGGTTCCTGTTCACAAGGGGAATGATTTCAGTTTCTCTCCATTAAGAATAATGACTGTTGGCTTTGCACAGATGCCCTTTATTATGTTGAGGAATGTCCCTTCTATTCCTATCTTGCTGAGAGTTTTGATCAAGAACAGGTGTTGGATTTTATCAAATGCTTTTTCTGCATCGAATGCTATGATCATGTGTTTCTTTTTCTTTGTTTTATTTATGTGGTGGAGGACATTGATTGTTTTTCTAATGGTGAATCCTCCCTGCATACCTGATATGAACCCCACTTAAGTCATAATGAACGATTTTCTCGATACATTGTTGGAGTCTATTGACTAGGATTTTGTTGAATATACTTGCATCTATATTCATGAGGGGTATTGGTCTGTAGTTTTCCTTTTGAGTGATGTCTTTGCCTGGTTTTGGTATCAAGGTTATGCTTGCTTCATAAAATGAGTTAGGGAGGATTCCATCCTTTTCTATATTTTAGAATAGTTTGAGTAGGAATGGTGTCAGTTATTTTCTGAATGTTCGGTAGAATTCTCCAGTGAAACCATCTGGGCCAAGAGTTTTTTTTGTTGGTGATTTTTTTATGACCTGGTCAATTTCTTCTTTTGCTATGCATCTGTTCAACTTTTCCATGTCACTCTGTGTTAGTTTACGTTAAGTGGTGTATTTCTAGAAATCTGTGCATTTCTTCCAGATTTTCAAATTTGTTAGAGTACAGTTTTTCATAGTAGCCTGATATCCTTTTTATTTCAGTTGGTTCTGTTGTGATGTCACCCGTTTCCTTTGTTATTCATGTTATTTGTATTCTTCCCCTCTTTTCCTTTGTTAAATTTGTCAGTGGTTTGTCAATTTTATTAATCTTTTCAAAAAACCAACTTTTGCTCTTGTTGATTTTTCCTATTGTCTTTCTATTTTCTGTTTCATTGATTTCTGCTCAGATATAAGAATAACAAGGGGAATGTTGCACCTTTCCAGTAGTCTGTGCGTCCGGAATGTCCTTGCAGTTCCCAAGAAGTGGAGCCTGTTCTTAAGTCCCTGGAATCTGGGAGAATGATGTCACTTTACGTATCCAAAATGGTCAAGCCACCCTCCACACAGGCACAAGTCCACAGTTCAGCCTGCTTTCCTCTTTGCTGCTTTCCTTTTATTCCCCAACCACCAGAGCAGTCCTCCGTGCAGTCCCTGGCTAGCAAGGCTGATTTTTAGTTTAATTCTTAGGTTCTACCACCAGTTGGCAATATCCAAGCTTTCTGAGCCGTCAGGATCACTGCCAGACCACAGCTCTGTATGTCTCCTTTTTTGGTATTTTCATGCAAATTCTTCTGCTAGTTAGAGTTTAGACCACTTTTATATCCTTCCCTTCAAAGGTCAGGGGTCCAGGATTATCTTCTGTATCTGTATTAATTGGTTCCCCTTTTCTTTGTTGAAGAGGGTCTGTGCAGTCTTTCTGCCTATTCTTCCATCTTACCAGAATTCCCCTCTATATTGCCTTTATATTCAAGTATGTAAACACTCTTTTTATTTTTGAATAATGATGGGATCACATACTATTCTGACTCATTAATTACCAACTTATCTTTTTATTCACACATCCTAGAAAATTTTGAAAAAAAAAAACCTGAAAAAACCAAACCTATTGCCATGAGTCAATTCTGACTCACAGTGACCCTTGTGGACAAAGCAGAACTGGCCTATAGGGTTTGAAAAACTGTAAATCTTTACAGAAGCTGACTGCCATATCTTTCTCCTATGGAGCAGTTGGTGGGTTCCAATTAGCGACCTTTTAGTTAGCGGCTAAGTACTTAACCTCTGTGCCTCCAGGGTTCCTATTATATGTACTTTATACCTTTCACTGGCTGCACAGTACTGCATTAGATGGATGGATGACAACTTTACTCAAATCCCTACTTATGAGCATTTAGGTCAGGTCTAGGACTTTTACAAACAACGACATCACTCTTGTAGAAAATTCTTTGGTACACACACTTAAATACTACTGTTGGAGCAGATGCCCTGCAGTCTCACTGCTGAGTCAGAGGGAACACTGTCACCAACACTGAGAGTATGTGGCCCCACACCTTGCAAGGCTGCATGTATCTGCAGTGTTTTAAACTCTTGCCAGTCTATTAGGCATTTAAAAAGTATTATGTTAACTAACACACTTTCTTATGGCTATCTTTTTTTTTCTTATATTTATATAAGTTACCTATTTAGGCCTTTGTTCTAGCATCATTTTCCCCTAGACTTCAAAGAGCTCTTTGAACAGTAGTCCTTAGCATTTTGGTTAACTTGGTTGATATTTTTAAATAGTAAATAAACAAAATGATCAGTTTTTTCTTTTATGGCTCCTGGGTTTTGTCATGCATAGAAAAAGCCCCCTTGTTCCAAGCTTATAAATGAAAATATTATGTGCATGCAAAGGTACCAAATGTACTTACGCTATCAACTAGTATTCTTACTGTTTCATTATTTATGTTCTTATCTTATCTTGGAATATAAAGTGACAGAGTTCATGTTTGTATTTAATTTTTTTTCAAATAGCTATCCAGTTTTCCATTATCATTAGATTCCTTTATCTCTCTGATGATTAAAAACACTACCTTTATCATATATTCATTACCCATTTATTTTTGGACTTAATTATGAAAAGTCTATTCTTTCCTAAGGTAGTATCCCAGTGTTCTTTTGGTTCTTCAATATGCATTATTATAAAATGTAAAAATATCTGTCAGGACAAAGCTCTCTCCATTATTTTTTAAATTCTTTTTCCAGTTACTATCACATATTATTCTTCCATAAGAATACTAGAATAATTTTGTCACATCTAATTTACTCAAGTACCTTATATCTCTCAGTAGATTGATTGTTTTCTTCCTACAAGTTCTAGATATTCCTTGTTAAAGTTATTTATTAATGTATTTTGTTGCTAATGTGGATTGGCTACAAGATTTTTCTAACAATTGCTAAAATTAGTCACTTTCATTTTAATTTCAAGTCTTATAAATTGTTGTGTTTATGTAAGACAGCTACTGACTTGTATATGAATTTTAAAATTTTGACTTACTGAATTTTGTTTCCCAAAGCTTTTCAGTTCGTTTTCCTTTTGATATTTTCAAATAATAATCTTGCTGTCTCATTATCAGTATTTTTATTATTTTAGTGTGTCTGTCACTTTCAGAAAAATATTGGTTAACAATGGTATAGCAAGCATCTTGGTTCTGTATATAACTTTAAAGGGAATGTGTTTGATAGGCTTTAAGCTTGAGATACAACATAATTTTAAGAAATAATACTAAGAAATATCGAGACACATACTGTGCTTTACCAAGTTATTTCTCTTTTGATCTATTAATATAGTGAAAGGTTTTAGTACATTTATGGAATTTTGAGTAATTCCTGCATTCTTAGAATGAACTCCCCCCTCTCTGGTCATGCTGTTCTTAAATTACTAAGTTTTGATTTCACTTACAAAAATATTTTTCCAAGTAATTTTACTTCAATAGATGTGAGAGACTGAACTGTAATTTTTTGTCAGGTTCTGGGATCAAGATTATTTTGGCTCTGTAAAATGAACTGGGAAGTATTCTTTGTTCTCTGTCCTCTGAAACAGTTTAAACATTAAAATTATAGGTCAATTAAATGGTTCAAAGAATTCCCCTATAACACTATCTGACCTCAGTACTCTTTGGAGTTAGCTCTTCCATATCTTTTTCAATAGAACTCTTCTTGATTCCATTTTGGTAATATGTGTTATCCTAATAAATTATTGTATTATAAACCTATCATTCATGTTTTCAAATTTACAAGCAGAAATGTACAAGTTTTTAAATTTCTTCCACATTTTGTGTATTTGAGTTTAACTCTCCTTATTTTCCCTTTATTCAGATAGCTGGTAGTTTAGCTATCTCACTGGACCTGTCAAAGAATTAGCTCGTGGATTTACTTTCAAGATCTATGCCTCAGTTCTGTAAGTTGTCTTTCCTTTATAGTTTCCTACTTTCTGTTTGGCTAAGGTTTTATGTTGTTTCTCTTTTTCTAATTTTGAATTTTAATAATTTATTCACCTACTTCCTGGAATAGATATTTAGAGACGTAACATTCTTTTCCTTGGGGCTACTGTCTACATACCTTCTCCAAATTAAAACTGTCTTCGGCTCGACTATCCTCTGAGTTGTCTGTGTTCTTCTCATCATCCCCTTTATCTGCATTTGCAAATACGGAGGCCACTCGGACAACAGGCAGGGGCATGTCCCGAGGGACAAACCTAACTGAGCTGATGGGCATGGTCCATAGTTTAATTTTCTTAAAAGATTTGGTTTTGGCAGAATATCGTGATTCACATACAAAAACATCTTCATCTCGAAAGTTTTCTGGGCATAATTTAAAGTATTCCTAGGAGACATAAGAATAAAATTAATTATTTAGTTACACAGATTTTCTGAAAACCAATCAACCAAAAACCAAAAGCAAACACTAACCAACCACATAAACTAAACTTTAATTGTTAAGACTTTCTGGTGGCTAACAACAAATGGTAAATAGCTAGACATCTAAGAGTATTTCCTGGCTATAGAATGGCCTTATGAAATACACATACTTTGGCTTATAAACATGAATAGTTCTATTTAGCTTATAAATTACCCTTTTGAAAATATGTCAATATTTCATGTACGTATAATGTTTCTGAAAGCTTTTGGGCAGGGCTCACATACTTTATCAGATATAAAGTAAAAAGTACACCTTATTACCTGAAAATTATCTCTCAGAAAATAGCATTCTCAAAAATCAGCTTAGCAATATAGGAAAATTTAAGTTAATCACAAATAGCTAAACAGTATAGGTAACAAATGATCTTTCACCATCATTTTTAAGTCCTTTCCTCCTGAGTTGTTGCATATACCAATATAAAACCCAAACTCAAACCAAATCCACTGCTACTGAGTCAATTTTAACTCATGTTGTTATTGTTAGGTGCTGTCAAGTTGTCTTTGACTCATAGCAACCTTATGTACAGCAGAACAAAACAGTGCCTGGTCCTGTGCCAGCTCCCATGATCCCTGCTACACCTGAGCCTATCGTTGTAGCCATTGTGTCAATCCAACTTGTTGAGGGCCTTCCCCTCTTTCGTTGACCTTCCAGTTTTACCAAGCATGATATCCTTCTCCAGGAAATGGCCTTGTCTTACAACACGACGAAAGTAGGTAGGTGAGATGAAGTTTGGCCATTCTCACTTCCAAGGAGCATTCCGGCTGCACTTCTTCCAAGACAGATTTGTTAGTTCTTTTAGCAGTCCATGGTATTTTCAGCATTCTTTGCCAGCACAACTCAAAAGCATCGACTCTTCTTCGGTCTTCCTTATTCATTGTCCAGCTCTCACATGCATATGAGGCAACTGAAAATATCATGCATGTATCTCACATGCATATGAGGCGACTGAAAATATCACCTTAGTCCTCAAGGAGACCTCTTTGCTCTTTAGCACTTGAAAGAGGTCTTTTGCAGCAGACTTGCCCAGTGCTATATGTCATCTGATATTTTGACTGCTGCTTCCATCGGTGTTGATTGTAGAACAAGTAATCTTTTCTCCCTTTATTGTGATAGTCCAGTTGTGAGGATTTTTGTTTTCTTTATATTGAGGTGTAATCTATACCGCACACTGTAATCTTCAATCTTCATCAGTAAATGTTTCAAGTCATCCTCACTCTCAGCAAGCAAAGTTGTGTTGTCAGTGTATCATAAGTTGTTAATGATTCTTCCTCCAATCCTGATGCCACATTCTTATTTATATAGTCCAGTTTCCTGGATTATTTGCTCCACATAGAGACTGAATAAGTGATGATGAAAGGATTCGACTCATAGTGACCCTATAAAACTGCCCCACAGAACTTCCAAGGCTGTAAATCTTTATGGAAGCAGACTGCCAAACTGTTCTCCTGTGGAGTGGCTGGTGGGTGCGAACAGCTGACCTTTTGATTACCAGCCAAATGCTTTAAATTCTATGCCACTAGGGCTCCTTCGGGAGCTCTGGTAGCATAGTGCCTAAGGCACCTGACTGCTAACCAGAAGGCTGGTGGTTCAAACCCATCAGCCACTCCTCGGAAGAAAGGTTGGGCAATCTCCTTCCGCAGTGATAGTGCTTCGGCAACCCAAGGAGGGGTCGCTATTAGTCGGGTCCAACTTGACGGCACATAACAACAACAACAACAACAACAACAACAAGGGCTCCTACATATACCTATATAGACGTGACTTAAAAAATCAAACAGATTTTAAAACAGAGTTCTTAATTTTGTAAATATCAATTTTTGTGTTTCTAAATTTATTCTTAGGGAATGAATGGTACTTTTGGGAGTAAGAGTTTCTTACCTTGACAAACATGACGACACATTTGCCTAGAATTTTACTAACGGGAACTTTATTGTAATAATCACTCTTAAAAACTTCCTTTTCTAGAAATTTTCGAGTAGCCAGGTGGAACGTTTCATTTGGCCTATAAAACCAACAGCCATACAACCATTTTTCACCTTTGAAAGAGAGAAAAAAGAGTAACATTACCATTAACAGAAAACAATAATTTTTTTAAGATGTGCAAACACGTCATTAAGCCATCATGCCACTGCCTGAACTTAACACTGTGGTTTTTTTTTTTTGCCATAGTTCCTTGGCTTAGCTATTTTAGAAGAAATATTACTTTAAAAGAATAAAATGCAACAAGGCCTAACAAACATTCATTTTCCCTTCGTATTAAAGGTATGAGGAGGGTTTATGAGACTTGCTCTGCTTTGCTCTGCTCAGGAAACATGTAAATTTGTGTACTTTATAGTAAGAATACAGATACTCTGAAGGACGTACTTAACACTCTGGTGAATGTCCAAAACTAATTCACATGGTGGTCACTGAAGAGAACAAGAATGCCTGAATCACATTTCTTCCTGCTCTGGCTTCATTAACTCTTACTCATTCTCCATGTCTCAACTTAAAAGCCAACTGCTCTAGGAAGCCTCGCCAAAACCAAATTCTAAGGCAAGGCATATGTACCTCTGTAACAGTTTCTTTTTCATTTGTGACCTCTTTTACCAGACTGGTGGGCCAGAGGCAAAACCTACGCTTTTTGTTTTTCTGAATCTCTGCTATCCTACAAAGAGTGTGCTTCACAGTGTGTGTGTTTAGTATCAGTTGAATCCATTTCTTTGGACTTAACTGTTGCACTGCCCAAAGCTAAATCCTGTATTTTTCATATGATGGATGCTTAATTATATTTATTGATACATTGTAGAACTACTGTTGGAAGGAATAAAATGTCTGAATAAAATTTTCTTTCCTGAGGACCAAGGAAGAGGAAAACTGCCACATTCTCACTACTCTGCCTTTTGATTTAAAGTGAATTTACCAGCAGAATCTTCCCACAGTCTTTCAATACAGACTATATGTGGCTGTAGGTTGGCCTCTGCAGGTTCCACATAGACATAATCTCCAACATGGTACATGCTGTTCTTAAAGCTGCAGTCCTGGCTATATGTACGATGTAAGCCTGATAGGCCTGTAGCACTCGAGGAATCTTCACTCTTTTCAGCTTCTTGAGTTAAAAAACAGAAAAGGTGCTTATTAAAGGGATGTTAGAATCAGATGTAGGGTTCAAACAGCACATAAAATATATTTCGTTCTTTTTGACACTTAAAGGCAGAATTCACAAAAAATAGGACAGTCACATTTTCAATAACCTCTACTCCAAATTGTCTTTTTGAATTCCAACTGACAACCACTGATCTGAGAAGTCCTGGTTGTACAGTGGTTAAAGTGCTTTGCTCGCCACCAAAAGGCTGGCAGTTCAAACCCACCAGCTGCTCCTGGGTAGAAAGGTGTGGCAGTCTGCTTCCATGAAGATTAAAACCAAAAACCAAACTCACTACCATTGAGTTGATGCTGACTCATAGCGACCCCCATTGGGTTTCTGAGGCAGTAAATCTTTACAGAAGTAGACTGCTCTGTCTTTCTTCCACAGAGCAGCTGGTAGGTTTGAACTGCCAACCTTCTGGGTAGCAGTCCAATGCCTTAGGCACTACACCATCTTTCCATGAAGATTACAACCTTGGAAATCCTATGGGCAGTTCTTCTCTGTCCTATAGGGTTGCTACAAGTCAGAATCAACTTGACAACAATGGGTCTGGTTTCCTTTTGGTACCACTGATCAGGTGGGCAAATGGTTTGCTCTCTACTGCGAACCTGGGTGCTTTGAACCCATCTAGTGGCAACATGGGAGAAAAGGCCTGGCAATGTGCTTCTGTTAACATTACAGCCAAGAAAACAAGGCTGTTCTACCCTGTACCCCACGAGGTTGCCATGAGTTGGAACTGACTCAATAGCAACTATCAACAACCACTAACCTAAATAAAAATATATAAGAAGAAATATAATCATTTTAGTAATACATGTTCTAAGTAATAATTTTGGGTAATACAAAAAAGATATAAAGAGAAAGTAAGTTACTTGTAATTCTAGGGATAAATTCTGATGCACTTCCCCTCCCTTCATGCTTCTGAGGTTGCTTTTTCTAACATTTTACATGGCTATGTCATGATTAATGGAATCTCAGAATTGAGGAAATATGGAGTATGTGTATCATACTATATGCTGTAAACTATAGAAGTACTTAAAATCTCCCTTGAAATTAAATACTTTTCTTTTCAATAAGACTAATTGCAAAAAGGGCATGGAGGTGGCATCTTCTGACCTTCTCCAATCTCACATGGGGAAAGAGAGTCACCATCAACAGCCCAAGGCTTATTCCTATGAGGCCAGACATGCCACCACCCTCCAGCCTCTTTAGTAACTCTGACACTAACCATCCCTCCCACAGCACCCACTACTTCTCTTCTGGGTTCCATAGTTTGTTGCAATGGCCACACAGAACTCACAGATAATACTCACAATTATGGATTTAATTAGGGAAGTAACAGGCTACAATCCAGGTTCAGGAACGCACTCAGGATACAATTGTTTTATCAGGACAGTTTCTCCTTTCCTGTGCCCCTGATAGGCTTCTCTGGCCCTTGGCCTCTGCTATGCTCAGGCAAGTGTTATAAAGCTATTTTAGCTCTGCCAACAAGTACACTTATGTGCACCTCACTCTGCCAGCAAGGCTCCTGTCCAATGGGACTCAGCTTTCTCACCCTATGGGCCAGTAAGGCCGCCACTTGGTCTTGTGCCTGTTGGTTCCATAGCTGCCATCTCTCTGCTGGGCTATCTCTGCCAAGGAGGTCCAGAGTGGGGATTTCAGGTCCAAGGAGACATGCTCCACTTCACCTCTAGCTCTTCTTTCTTGATGGCAGTGAGATCCCTCTCTGCCACTAGGAGGGCTCATTTTAAGCCCAGCAGCATAACAAAACTAACCAATCCTCACATTAGAGTTCTACACACCTTATTTGCATGGTCCTACCCAGTAATCTGGTGAGAGTCACAAAGACCATGGCTACAAAAGCTACACCAAGTAATGCACTGTACCATACTAATTTAAAAAACAAACAAACCCCCCCCCAAGATTTTTGTTTTTTTTAAAGAAGATAGAGTGGTTTGTTCAGGTGACATTATTTATTTATTTTTATTGAAAAAAATTTTTTTGAAGGAATTATTATTCTTTTTGTTGTTGTTGCTGAAAATATACATAGCAAAATATATACCAATTCAACAGTTTCTATATGTACCATTTGGTGACACTGATTATATTCTTCCAGTTGGGCAATCATTCTCATTCTCCTTTTGTGAGTTGTTTCTCTCAGTAACATAAACTCACTGGTACCTAAGGTTCTTATCTAATCTTTTGAGTTGCTGTTGTCAATTTGACTCCATAAAGACAGTTCTTAAAAGAGCATAGTGCTTAAGACAGATTCTTTTTTTTTTTTTTAAACTAGTAAAGTTAAACTATTGTTTTAAGATGACTTCAGGGGATATTTTTGGTTTAAGTTAAACCTTAAGTTTAAGTTATCTCAGGGCAATAGTTTCAGGGGTCCATCCAGCCTGCATGGCTCCGGAATGTCTAGAGTCCATGAGAAACTGAACATTTGTCCTGCATTTCCCCCATTTTGATCAACATTCTTCTATGGAATGCTTGATCTGTAGATGGGCATCTGGGTCATTTTCACCTTTTGGCTATTGTGTATAGGGCTGCAATGAAGCTGTTTGTTTTTTAAATGGGTGCTCTAGGCATTTCAAGGTGCATCCTTCATTCATTACAATCTACTTCAGGTTAATTCTGACATAATTTCATTAAATATGGAAATTTACCCCAACACAGTTCTACCCCCTCTTCCTTTGTGCTACTACTATTACATGCATTACATCTGTAATGTCATAAATGTCATAAACCTAACAATACAGTGTTGTGATTATTGCTTCAAACATAGTAATTGTTTATAAAAAACATAATAGTTTTTTTAGAGGGGGGAAGAAAAAACAGAAAAATACCCAGAGTGCTTTACATTTACTCACACAGTTACCATTTCTAGTGCTCTTCAGTCCTACTTGTGGATCTGAGTTACCATCTGGTGTCATTTTCTTTTAGCCTGAAGCTCTCCTTTAAGTGTTTCTTATATGGCATATCTGACAGCAGTGAAGTCTCTCAGTTTTTGTTTATGTGCGAGTGTCTTTATTTTTATCTCATTACTGAAGAACAGTTTTGCTGGATATACAACTTAGTTTTTTCTCTTTCAACACTCTGAATGTCATTCCACTGCCTCCTGGCTTCCATTCTTTTTTATGAGAAGTCAGCCTTTAATGTGATGAGTTATTTTGCTGCTTTCAAGATTTTTTTCTTTCAGCAGTTTATGATGTATCTGGATGTGGTTCCCTTTCTTTTTATTTTACTTAGGCTGCAGGTTAATGTTTTTCAGCAAATCTGAAAAGTTTTCAACCACTATATCTTCATATATATTTTTTCTCCCCTTTCCTGCTAGGACTCCCATTACAGAAGAACACTTGACACTAGGAATTTTTCATAGGTCTGCACAGCTAGGGATCAATGATTTAAGCAAACGTGTTCAAACAACTCCAATCTTTAAAGCTTCACCCTCTGCTGATTGATCTCTATGAGGGTTAGGGAATGCATTGAAAGTTGCAGTTAGTTTTCAAGTATCTTTTGAATTTAGCTTTTTGTCAGGTTCACACATCCTCCCTGCATCTAGCTTTCCATTCAGCCAGGAATGTGTGGTAAGCTTATTTCAGCCCTCCAATGGCTCTCTAAAAGGAGCCTTGATGGCACAGTGCTTAAGTGCTTGGCTATTAACTCACCAGCCACTCCACGGGAAAGAGGAAGTCTGCTTCTGTAAAGGTGCATGGCCTTGGAAACCCTCTGGGCACTTCTACTCTGTCCTGTATAGTCGCTATGAGTTAAAATAAACATGACACCAGTGGATCTGGCTTGGTATGGCTCTCTCAAGAAGCCCTGGTGGCACAATGGTTCAACTGTTAACCAAAAGGTCAGCAGTTTGAACCCACCAACTGCTCTGTGGGAAAGATGTAGCAGTATGCTTCTGTAAAGATTCATGGCCTCTGTAACCCTATGGGACAGTTCTACTCTGTCCTACAGATATATCCTACTCATATTTCCTATGAGTAGGAAACAACAGCAGTGGGCTTGGTTTTGGTACGCCTCGCTCATTTCCAGGATCTTTTCCAACTCTGTCACCTTGTGCTAGTAAAGCTGTAGCAAACAATGACATGGATCCAACCCCCTACCCACATATACTTGTCTCCTCTGGTGGCAAAACAGCTGGTAATATTACAATTTCACCAACTAGTTTCCTTTATCTTTTCTTTCTTTGGAGATGGCATCACTTAAGATAATATACTTCAAACCAATTTATTTTGTTTTTCTGCCTAAGGGTGGAAAAAAAAACCTAAGAAGTAAGTTTGATCCTAAAGACTACTATTAACACTTTGGAAAACCAAGTATTCAAGGTATCTATGTGAACTCAAGTTTTATCAGAAATGATAAAATTTGTGATAAAAGTTCCCACTATCAAAATATTTCTATCTTACAGAAAATGACTCAAAAAGCAACAATTTTAGGTTGATATGATCAAAATAAAATTTTCCTTCAAGGACTGTGGTTCAATCAAAATATCATCTAGTATGAGGAAAACTGTGCTACTGAACAATGTGGCAGAAACTCGATGTACTCACTATTTTTTAGCTCCAGACGGCTTCTTACGTTTTTAATCTACCAATAACATTTAAGAGGTATTAAATTCCCATACTTGTCAATTAACTGATTATTTTCCTGGATAATGGACAAATCTGTCTTGGAAAAAGTACAGCCAGAATGTTCATTTGAAGAGAAGATAGTGAGACTTTGTCTCACACATTTTGAACACATTATCAAGAGTGACTATGCCTGGAGAAGGACATCATGCTTGGTAGAGCATCAGTGAAAAAGAGGAAGAACCTCAATGAGATGAACTGACAAAGTGGCTACAACAATGGGCTCAAACACAGCAATGACTGTGAGGTTGGTGTAGCATCAGGAAGTGTTTTATTGTGTTGTATATAACATAGGGTCACTATGAGCCAGAACCAACCTGACAGCATCTAACAAGCTAATACTTGTGTCACATGTAACTTTCAATCTTTTTTCCAGCCTCATGACCAAACTGATAATGACAAAAACATTTTCACTTCACCATATCTGTTTATGTAAATTATGACGCATGGTTGGAGTCAACACAGTGAGTCACAATCTACATAAACAGAAGTCTTCTCACAGCTAATTGACACCAGTTAGCACAGAGTATACTATTTCTTCATATTTAATAAAATGAAACCAACCTCTTTTTTCTTCTTCTCGTTTTAGTTTATCTTCTTCTATTTCTTTGGGTAATTTTTCCTTTTTTTCTTTCTCCACATCATTATGCAAATGTTTCGTGGTATAGCTGAGTGCTGGTGAAAGGAGGATCTCCCCATTTTTGCAGAGTTCATCACGGATTTTAATAAAAAACTGCTGAAGTTCTACTGCATCCTCATATATTTCAGAATCTGTCCTATAATGGCATCAAGAGCATCCATTGATACACAAACTACTTATTTCATACACTTCAATTTTAAGTTAAATTCTGTTAAATACTTCTTTAATAAGACAATGCAATGGTACTTCTGCTCAGTTCTAAGAAAGGTATCTCCTTGATGTTTGTTAGAACAGAATTTGACGTGTCATTTGACCATGGTGAGCCTCATGCCTACCAGTTTTTTTCCTTAAAGTTCACTCTTTGTACAGATCACATGAAAGGAAAAGCCTTTTATGTTTTCCTGTGGAAGTACACTGCACATACATCAGTAGATTCTAGCAACAGAATGTGGCTGCCCGAATTAAGAACTGTATACAAGGTTCCACAACATATCTAACACTTACATCTAATCTTTGGATTAATTTCTACTTTCCTTCAATGGGGACCAATGTAATGTATAAAGTGTTAACAAATGATTTAGGCAATGTTCATTCTCTTCTCTTCTGGACCTACATCATGGTTGCCTGTATCTGACATAAATTCCAAAGCCATGAGGGTACCCCAGCATGGTTGTAAACCTCAGTCAGTGCTCATTTTAGTTTTCCAGAAATAACCACAATGGTTATTGCAATGGCACTTCTGCTCAGTTCTAAGAAAGGTATCTCCTTGATGTTTGTTAGAACAGAATTTGATGTGTCATTTGACCATGGTGAGCCATAGTTCTGGGGAATCAATATAGGCAAATACTGAAAGATGAGAAAAAAATTATGTGTGTCATATTCAGAACTTTTCTGGGTCTCTTTCCTCATTTATAAAATGAGAGGGCTGGGCAAAAAGAAACTTCAGAATTCAGACAAAGAAATTTTTATTACTCTCTCAAATTTACTGGGGTTTGAGGAAAGCTTAAATATAATTCTATTAACACAAAACATCAGGGTGTGAAAAATCATTCACAAAGTTATCTAGACAGATGTTTTATCAGCAGTTATAGAAGTACTCTGGTTGGGGAAGTTGGGCTAGTTGGCACATGCCACTATGGTATCAAACCTCAGTGAGGTCCTAAAACCCCCTTTCCCATCAGCAAAGGTAAACTGGAAAACAATGAGAAAACACAGCCAATAACCTAAATGGGTGCTTTTTGGAAAAACTTAAAAAATCTTTTCAGGTTATAGAAATGCTAATACTTGTAAGAAAGCAATAAAAAAATAAATAAAACGTACCAAGGGAAGAAAAACCTGACACTAATCTGATGCCTGTTTTCTGAACAGAGTATCTGAAACTTGTCCATTTGAATAGCAAATAGTAGACTTATTTTTATAATACCTTACAGTTTAAAACATAAAATGAAAACCTTCTTTTGGTGAATCCATATTAAAGTTAAAGGGCAGATTCACAACTTCATCATGTCATGTGGTTTAGTAAAAGAAGTTCGTACAATGGCACTGTACACCTGACATATTCTTTTTTATTTAAAGAAAGTAACACCAAGAATTTGTCAATTTAAGAGGCCAGGTGTTTTCTACATGAGCAGAACAAAGACTCTGGATGGAAAAAGAACTCTCATTCTGCTAAATTGGTGGATAATCTTTTCACATAAGACAGGCTTTCAGCAAAAGGAGATAATTAAGGTTAGAGAAGACTTTTGATGCTTTCCTGTCCTTGTCTTTCCACAAGTATCCTTACCTGTAAGGGAGTCAGAATGCTTCATCCAGGAATACTGCCAAGAGATTAGGACAACCAGTAGCCAACTGGCATGAGTCAGAGTTGTACTGTTATGGAATACTGCAGATGGACAAAACTACCATCATCTGAGTGAATGTTTTTCTAATGATGTTTCATTGTTTAGACTCCTTTTATTTCAGGGTGTGATGTCTCAGTCGATATTGGGTAGCAGTGGTAGATAGAAGTTGAGTAGTGATGTAGCATGAACTTTATTTATGATCTTAGATAAAGCTACATTTATCATACATTAAACTGATGTATCCCTCCTCTAAGCAGCATGAGGTTAGTTCTTATTAAATACTGTATGCAGTCCCAACACTACCTTCATTTGCAAAGATAAGAATGGCTTCCCTTATGTTTTGCCATGATGCTCTGAGCATGAGAGTGAAACTGTGTACCACTACTTTACATAAATGCACCTTGGATCCAGTCTCCCAGGCCTCAAAAGCAAAAGACCACCATGTCAACAACAGGAGAATGAAAACAGCACATCTCCTAGTGATACAAACCTGCTTAATTCTTAGAATAAATGTCATTTACACAAGACAAAGTTGGTAATAATCAAGAGACAAATGCCTTTTGGAAGAACTACAGAATTAACCTGAAGATATAACAGGGATTGGTGGAATGGTTTTACACTTATGGACTATTTAAGTAAACTGAGAACAAACATGGATACTTCAACTCAGTGAAAGCAGAGTTTCTGTCTGTTTTGTTCATGGATGTTTCTCAAGTACCCAGAATATTAACTGGAAGATACTCAGTAAACATTTGTTGAATAAAGGAATAGATCCTGCAGATTTTGGCTACAAGATATCCCTCCATCTTTCTTTTGTCGCCTACCCAAGAATAAGGGCTATTTCCTAAATGTGTCATTCAAGGACCTTTCCAATCTGGCTAACAGACCACGTTCATTCCCTAACCTTATGTCTTTGCTTATATCACTCAGCTTACCTGAAATATCTTCCACACTGCTCATGTAAATCCTACCCATCCCACCATTCTTCCAAAATTAACTTTGTCTTTTTAAGAGAACTTTGTTTTTTTAGGCCATTAAGAGTTCCTTATTCCATATCAGGTTGTTACATATTATCATGTCTGGAATTACTTTTTTCCTAAGCACAGGTCCCATATAATCTATCAGCCTTCAAGCTCTTACAACACAAAGCTCAAGCCTTATTGTTCCTGGCTGTGCTCCATGATTGGTATTGGAGTGCCTGGTTCAGCAGCAGTGTTCTGCAATGGGGAACAAGTTAAGACACCCCACTTACTAGTTATGAGACTTTGGGGAAACTCACTTCTCTCTGCCTACGCCTTGGGTTCTTCATATACAAACTGGAAAGATTATCACTTCTGTAGAATGGCTGTTATAAAGGTTAAAATTAATTTACATAAAGTGTTTACCATGGTGCTTTACAAAGAGCAGGCACTCTCAATAGGAACAGCAAATGTTGCCATTCATTTTCCTTTCAAGGTCCAGAGCAAATGTACTTTCTTTAATGGGCTTCCCTGATTGCCTAAGTGGAATTCCCGCACATGCCCATGCACACTGGCTAGAAGCCTAGTTCTCAGTATGGTAGGCTATAAGCTCCAAGAAGGAAAGGCTGGTATCTTGTAACTGTTCACATTCTCCAAGTACCTTCAAAAGCACATGGAAGACACACTGTAATTGCTGAATTGAGCCTGTTTTAACAGTTGAATATGTTATTGATGTGTGGCAGACTGCCAAATGTCAAAATTAAAATGTGATGGAAATTTACACATGGTTATTCCTTGATTGATTCTTTTAAAACATTTAATGTCTGCTCTTAAAGTGAGAAATCTGAGATTATTAAAGAAATAAAAAGAAGCCCTTTTAGGTTCTTGAATAGGTTGTGAAATATATTTAATGCTAACATCAGGTCAATACTGGAAAGCTATTTTAATTTATTGAAAACATTCTTGGATTGAACTCAAACTTTGTAAGAAAAGTTGTTACTCTAATTACTAGCATTTTATCTTCTAAAAATCATATTCCAAAAAAAATAAAAATCACCTCCTGGAAAAGACTGTATTGTAAGAGTTGATCCTTTTCAACAGACCTTTCATTTGGCTGACTCCCTCTCCTCACTGGCCCTAATCTAGATGACTTAGAAGTATGCCATCCTTCCCACTGAACATGTGTTCTCTAGAAATTTTGGCTAATTAGAATTCAGAATGGCAGCTTACCAACTGTAACAATGTACCCAAGATGTTTTGAAATAGTACATCAAAGCAGTATTCCTCCTTCTGTTTTACATTAAATATCACATCTTCTCAAAAAGAAATCGCTTTGAAAACATACCGATTCATCCTTCTTGCCCTTTCCAATACTTCAAACATATGCTCTTGAAATAAATCAAGCCTCCGGTAGCGATTATTTTCAACATTCTTCCTAATTATGTCAAAAGTAAGGGGAGGTTTGTTTGGAAAGTTGGGATCCACAGCAGGAATTTCTGCTAAGGAATCACTGTAGCATCTTCCCTCATCATCCTGATGACTCATAACTGATACAAACAGATTGTGGATAAGTTCCTGAATCAGCAAGGTCACATTTGGGACATGAGAGTCCTCATCTCCCTCCAGATCCCTGCGAGTTTCAAGCAGGACTTTGTGTAGGACAAGGGCGTCTTTGTAGATAAGGGACTCAGGCTCATTGTACGTACAGGCATTGTTAAACATCATGACAAAGTCCTCAACCATGGAGTCTATATCTTGGTACTTATTGGCCATCATGTGGCTTCGAATTTTTTCCATGTCCATGGGCTTTTTGATGGTCAAATAGTAGTCAGGCAGCTCGGATCTGGAGGGAAGCCTCAGAAATATGGCACTGAGGCGGCGACCTCTCTTATCAGTATAGTTCTTTACTGCCTCATAGACTTCATTTAGTTTCTGCTGCATTGGAGTCATATATTTTGATTTTTTAGGAGAAATCCCACTCTTCCTACCTAAAGAAAGAGATTTAATGTTAACAGACAAAATTAAATAAATGAACCTAAATTTATACAGAGTAGGTGGCATAGCCAAAACAAAGGGACTATACCGTGTGATTTCTGAAACTCAGCAATTATTAGCACGTTTCTATTGAAATATATCCTAAAGACAAAAAACTGGGAAGAAATTAAATTTATTTTCAATATCATATTATTGGAGGGAGAGTAAGTGCTACTATTCTGAGACAGTTGTGAGTAAGTGGAAGGAATAAAGCAAATGAGTGGATGTATGACACTCTAATTCCATCACCTCTGGTATCCTTGAAAACTGAGATTTCTTCATGAGAGAAAAAGAGACACAGCTGTCAGGCAGAGGAGGCTGAGTAAACACCTGCAGCGCTGAGTTTTAATCAAATCTACCAGTATGAACTCACGTTATATTTTATCTTTAAATGTTAAAACACACACACACACACACACACATATTTCTTACTAAAAACACTTAGAAACAATGACCAACCCAGTACCAGGGTACCCCACATTAGTTTTAAAATATTAAAAGGTCAGGGCTCTATGGCAAGTGGCTGATAACCAGTTTGTACAAGATAAGCCTGGTATATTCTGAAACATCAGATAATAAAGAATGCATCAAAAACTTCTTCCTATGGTCATGTCAAAAGAACACAGGAACCAGCCTGGGACCACATGAGCATCAATAAGAACAAAAACTACAGTGGGTTAAATCCAGCAGTATGTTTAAACCTATGAGTTCTTAATGATTCATAAAAAACAAATAAACAAACAACTGAATAAAAGTTGGAGGACTGATAGTAAACCAAAGCATTATTTAAAAAACTAGTACATGATCCGTAAAACAATAGAACAAGCAAGCAAAAAAAAAAAAAAAAAAAAAAATCAAGCTTCTAGCCACCTTTCAAACAAAACAAAACACCCCTGAACTTGGCAATGAAATTTTGGATGAAGCCAAGTTTCTCTACATGGGAAGTATGACAGCTAATAAATGAGTGAGGAATAAAAAAATAAAACTATCACTACATGATATCCCTTTAGTGAATTAATAAACTGAGCATCAGTAGCTGTTAACAGAAAGAAACAATCTGTGACGTATCTCCCTACGAAGTTGTCTTTTGTGCCAAAGGGAGGGAACAGGGCATCAAACCTGAATCTGATCAAGTCTTTGGCTTCAATTACCAATTTACAGTAGAAAACAAGGACAGAAGAGTACATTAAACTATAGAGGTACAATTAGTAAAACCCAGGCTGGGAAACTATAGTATCAACCCAAACTTGTCAACAAATAAACTGTAAGGGATGGGGGGGGGAGATGCACACTGAAATGGAAATTTATGGACTAAAAAAAGACTTAAAAGGACCATCAATCAAAAGCAATAGATGAATCATATTTGCATCCTACCTCATCTAGACACTATTCTCCAAGATGTTATGCAACATAAGTGTAGAAAATGTTATGAAGTATTCTTGCCAAGCTGAAACTGAATCTAATCAAACCTTCAGAGTTAAATCTCATTTTCAAGAAATTAGGGGATAAAGGAATAAGTTAACTGACATCATAAGGAAGCAAACTGGTTAATCTAGAACTTGGGACACTTACAACAAAGTGGCCCAGTTTCTTCAGTGAGTCAATAGCATGAGGAAATAAGAGGGAGGGGGACTGCTCTAGATTACAAGAACTTACAGGCATAACAATCAAATGTAATTAATATATAGAACTTACTTAGATCCTGACTTGAAGGAAACCAACCATAAAAGTACATTTGTGAGAAAATCAGTAAAATAAGAAATTTTATCAGGTAATTAGATAAAACCAAAAACTATTGCTAATTTTGATAGATGTGATAATGGTTCATGGTTATCAAGAAAATACCTCCATTTTTAGAGATGTACACTGAATAATGTAGAAATGAAATGATTAGAGCTGCTTTAAAATAATGTAGGGGGAAGAAAGAAAACAAACGAGGGATATAAGTATGGCACAACCCTGATAAATGCTGAACCTGGGTAGCAGGTACATAGGAGCATATGCAGTATTGTTCCTTACATCTGTCTATGTTTAAAAATTTTGTAATAAAAAATAGAGAAATAAAAAGGAAAATAACATTCCATATTAAAATCCTTTCTCTGGACTTTCAAGTATAGGTGTGTGTGCTTATTTATGAAAATATATACATTTAAATAATTATTGTTAAATTATCTATCATTAGCCTCCTAACTCAATTTAGTTTCAGTTTACTTTTGCAAGATATTATGTCCCTGCAAAGTAGAGTAAGAAATGGTCTGCACTTTTGCCATTTTATCTTTGTGAAATTAAGCCAGTATGTTTTTAAAATTCCATGTAAAGTTAAGTGTCTTAACATGAAGGAATCACCACTCAGCAGTGAATCACACCAAAGCTACAGTGAAATTCAGTGTATAGTCATTTCATATAAAAAAGCAGGGCCTGTTTGTTTTTCCATCCTTTGGAAATATGGCAGTTGTTTTATTTTCCTATCTTAAGCATGGTAGAAACCGCTTATTTAGTCCAGTGGTATTCATTACTTTCGCAGTACCCTCCTCTCTTACAGTTTTTAATAAAATAAGATCCCATAGACCTCGCTCACAGGACAGCTGAGTCAGCTGACAGCACAGGCTGGACATCTCTAACTTCTCAATTTTTCAGGCTAGTAGGAGTTGCTGGCATTCATATTTAATTCTGGTAATTACCAAATAAACATGCCAAAAGGAAAAAGAGAGAAAGAAAAAAAATCTGCCACTGTGCTCTTAAAGAAAAAAAAAAAGCTAAAACCTAATCTTGCTATTTAACATTCACAAAACATCCACAGCATTCAAGAAAATAAACAAAACCATTGATGATCATATTCTATTCCCCACAGTCGAACTATTTAAAATTCAGTCAAAGAGAGTGTTTGAGAGGAGGAAAGAAACTCCATGCTGAAGTCCTAGTGAATTCAAACGTAGTCACCAATTAATTAAATATTATTTCACCAAATGAGTCATCTACTCTTGCCAGACTACATTGAGTAATAAAGGGCAGGGCTGCCTTACTCAGCTTGAGTTTGGGAGAAGCCATGTCATCCTCATCAGGCAGTGGACCCAGCTCTTTCCTTTTATCCTTGAGCAACTTCTCCAGGATGTGTGCATCATTGTATACCTATGTTCCATAAACAGATTTAAAGTTATTTTCTAAAAGAACTTTTTTTTGAAGTACAGTATACATTTATAAAGAAGTTTAGGACAATTGGGAGGTTTTTTTTCTTTAAAAAACAAAAACAAAAACAAAAACACCTGAGCCTCACTACCCACCCACTGCCACAAAGTTGATTCCAACTCACAGCAACCCTGTGGGACAGAGTGAACTGTCCCACAGGGTTTCTAAGGCTGTAAATCTTTATGGATGCAGATGCCACAACTTTTTTCCATGGAGCAGCTAGTGGGTTCGAAATGCCAAACTTTTGGTTAGCAGTCAAGGGCTTAACCACTGTGCCATCCAGGGCTATTTGTGAGTTGGGCCTGGGCCATAGTCTGTCTGTTTTCTTAAGTTTCCAGGTGATTCTCATGTGCAGACATGCAGCTAAAGTTTGCATTTATGGGAAAATAATGTCAGTTCTTAGGTAACCATAAAATTTTATGGAGTATCCTCAAAGTATGGCCATTGAGTATCACTGTCAACCACTTGGAGGGGGATCTATGTAGAAGATCCTGGATAGAGTGGGAGAACAATGTGGAACAAAACTCAAAATCATTAAAAAAAAGACCCCAGGTTTGCTGGTCTGATAGAGCCTGGTAGAACTCCTGAGACTATGGTCCCTAGCTGCCCTTCATGTCTGGAACTGAATCCACTCCTGTGGTTTCCAGCCAAACAAAAGACAGGCATATGAGCTGAACATATCTACCTCTAAGGAGGTAGACTCACTCCTTAGAGAAGATCAATCATGGGATAATAGAAGGGCTGTGTATGCATAGGGAGACCACTCAGGGGGCAGAAATGCATAGAAGGGAAGAACATAGGAAGAGGTACCTATGAGGAGGAAGTGGGAAAGGGGCTGTTGCACTGTGGGAAATTGCAGTCAATGTCATGAGACAAAGTGTACGTGAGCTGCTATATGGAAAATGAATTTGCTCTGTAAACTTTCACCTAAACCACAACAAAAATTAAAAAAAAAATATGGCAATTGAGGATAGTAATAATAATGATGATGAGATTTTTAATGCTATTGGCTCTTATCTGTGTGCTTATTTGGTACAGGCTAAATGCTCTCTACCTCATTTAAATCCTACAACCCCAATGCAAGTACTATTATTATCCTTAATTTAGAGATGAACAAACTGAGACTCAGAATTAAGTTACTAAGAGGGATCAGCAGAGTAGGATTCAAATCCAGGATGTCAGACTACAGAGTATGAGCTTTTAACCTCTATGGTGTATTGCCTACCATTTTAAACAATTAAGAAGAGACAAAATACTAACCCAGTCACTGAGAAGAATAACCTAAGTTTAACCCCTGGAGCTGGTCTCTCATGCATTATTCCACCAGCATCCTAGAGACTCCTCCACATCTGGAGGCCTCCTTGTCCTCACCTGGGAGCCCTCCTCATTGTAGTGCCTGGCATTCCGGAACATCAGCTTCATGTCTTCTATCATTCCCTCTTCCCCTGTATATTTGTCATTGCGAATGTTATGTTCAATTATTTTCAAGTCCATTGGTTCCAAGATGATTTTATAATAATCAGGATAATCCTTTTTGGATGGTTTAACCATAAATAAGTCACAAAGTCTTCTGCCTGAACCTGGTTCTCGAGCTTCAAGAACAACATTGAATAAGATTTTCATTCGCTGCTTTCTTATGTTCTTTTTACTGTTGAAGGAGGCAGAGAAAGGGAAGAATGAGATCATGTTCAGTTTTCCTTAAAGGATGAACATGAAATGAAACAAATTAATCTTGGGGCAGGTATTTTAAAATTATTCCAATTCACTGATTACAAATACCATACACATAGTAAACATGCAGGAAGCTATAAGCAAATATTAGGAAAATTTCCAAAATTTTAAACATAGTTAAAACCATAGTGACCTTGGCAGGAATACCAATGAACACAAGACATATTTGTTTATAACATCTCATAATTAAATGCTTAAAAAAAGTTCTTGTCTGACACCCAAAGAAAATTAAATTCTATCATCAACTGAAACCCATTTTCTGATTATAAAATGAATAGAACAAAAATGCAGCAAAACTAGTGATTCCCTAGCATTTCTAACAACCCTTATTTCCAAGCAAAAAACAAAACAAACAAACAAACAAACCCCAACAACCTAACACAGAGAAGGTCCCCATCTCTTAAGACAACTTCTCCTGGACACCTGCATATATATATTCTGGTTGTTAAAAAACAAAGGGAGACTGTCTGCCAGACTAGTGTCCCTACAATGGGTACAAGTCTCTCTCACATTAATTTTGTCAGGGTCAGTCCTTCTTCTCCTCCCTTCATCAGCATTATTCTATCCCTCTAAGCCAACCCAGATTAAAGAATAAATGGTCTGTGGTTCATCTAAGCTCTCTAGAGGGCTTAGATTTTCATCCCTGAGTGTGAATCCCTGTCTTTCCTCCTAATTTCTCCAGTGAGATGTGATGCTGAAAAACAGATGTGAGTGATATGGAACAAAGTACAAGGGACCATAGATTAGAACCAGAGCCAAAAGGGCCTCAAGAGAACAGACGGTCAGTCTAGTCTCCTAGTATTGAAGAAACTGGCTTGGGGAACTGCCAGTGATTATCAGAAGAGACGATATGATCTGCTTTCTGGTCTACTGCTCTTATGTTTTCAGAACTGATAAAGAAATTCTAGCCAGACGTGAACCAGCACTTTCCAAGTGAACAGTCACGTAGGTATTAAAAAGAAATGGCTTATGACTTAATTTCTAATCAAACAAACATTTACTAAGATCCTATAACATAGCACTTAGAGATAAATATATATATTTATATATGCATATGCATATACATATATATTGTTGTTGTTGTTATGTGCTGTTGAGTCGGACCCGACTCATAGCGAACCCTCCTTGGGTTTCTGAGGCAGTATCACTATGGAAGTGGATTGCCCCATCTTCCTTCCAAGAAGTGGCTGGTGGGTTTGAACCGCCATACATATATACATGCATATATATTTTATGTTTCCTATTCTGTAAGCAGAAGGAAGTTCACTCCTAAAACAGACTATGTAACTGATGAGATCAGAAGAACTGGATGGTGTCTGGCTACCATTACTGAACATTTTGATCAGAGATTCTATAGAAGAACCCAAATCACAGGGGTAAAGTAAAAAACAGAATTTCAAATTCTCATGGACTCTAGACTTTCTGGAGCCATGGAGGTTGAATGAAGTCCCAAAACTACTGCTCTGAGATCGTCTTTAAATCTTAAACCAAAAATATCCCCTGAAGTCTTCTTAAAACCAAACATTTGTGTGTTCTGTAAGAATTCCTAGGTATACAGTAGAGCTGACAAGGGACAAGGCTGTAGTCACTTCTTGGCCACAGCTAGCTACCCAGAGGGAGTGAGCAGTTGGACCTGGGGCCCAAGACCATAGTTGCAGGGGACATCAAGCTCAACTGGCACAACATACTACACAAAAGCATTGTTCCATATCCAACTTTGGCGAATAGCGAATGGGACCTTAAAAGTCTGCCAGTGGCACCAAAGAATAATGTAGAGTGTGCAAAACACCACATAATATGGATGAAGTTGGAGGACATTATGCTGAGTGAAATAAGTCAATCACAGAAGGACAAATATAGTATTAGTTTGTAGCTGTGGAGGGTAAAGGAGAGGTTTATTTATGGAGAGAAACTTTCTTTGTTGCTTGCCAGGGGTGGGAGAGGAAGGGAGGGAACATTACCAAAAAAAAAAAAGTATCGACCCATGTCACTTTAGTTTTGTGTCTTTCACTGTACATAAATTGTATTTCAATAAAATGCATTAAAAAAAAAAAAAAGCTTGCAAGCAGTCATCTAGATGCAACCATGGATCTCTCCTCATCTGCAGCAAAGAAGAATGAAGAAACCAAAGACACACAGAAACAATTATTCCAAGTAATTGGTACACCATGTGATCCTCAGCCTATACGACTATGAGACCAGAAGAACTAGATGGTTCTCAGCTACCAATGTCAACTACTCAGAGGGGGATCTTTGTAGGAGATCCTGGATAGAGAGGGAGAACAATGTGGAACAAAACTCAAAATCATTTGGGGAAAAAAAAAAAAAAGGGACCAGGTTTGCTGGGTCTGATAGAGCCTGATGGAACCACTGAGACTATGGCCCCTAGATGCCTTTTAGATCTGGAATTGAACCCACTCCTATGGCTTCCAGCCAAACAAAGACAGGCATATGAGCTGAATATTTACATTAGGTTGATACACTCCTTGGAGAGATCAATCATGGGAGAATAGAAGGGCTGTGTATGCAAAGGGAGACAGCTTGGGGCGGGGGCAGGAGTGCATAGAGGGAAGGACACAGGGAAGAGGTAACTATGAGGAGGAAGTGAGAGGGGAGCTGATGCATTGTGGGAAATTGTAGTCAATGTTATGAGACAAAGTGCATGTGAGCTGCTGTATGGAAAGTGGATTTGCTCTGTAAACTTACACCCAAATCACAATAAAAATTAAGGAAAAAAAAAAAAAAAAAAAGCCCAAACAACAGTTTAACCTCACTAGCAAAAAAGGTGTGCCTTGAACATTACAGTCTTTTAAGAACTATCTATATGGGATCAAAGTGACAACACCAACTTGCAAGATTAGACAGGAACCTGAAGGGGTGATGAGTTTATGTCAATGAGGGAGGAACAACTCACAAAAGGAGGGGGAGAATTGTTGCATAATTCAAAGAATGTAATCAATGTCATTGAATTGTACATGTAGAAACTACTGAACTGGTATATGCTTTGTTGTGCATATTCTCAACAACAAAACAAAATTAAAAACAAAACAACTCAAAATACTACCTGGCTGTATAAGTCTTGTAGTCCAGTCCCCTGATCACTTATTCTACTGCTGGGTCATGAAGAAGCCAAGGGTCAGATATTTTCCCTCTAAGATTCAAAGTATGCTTTTAAAAACAAAAACAAAACTCAAATAAAAAATGATTAGCAGTTGAGGGCAAAAAATTATCTATCCTTAAGATTTAAAAATGTCTCAGAAATGCCTATCTTCCCAGGATCATGAAGCTCAAATAAACAGAAAGTGGTTTAATTAGGAGAGAAAACAAAACAAAGGGATTCTTCCCATTTCCTATGGTTGAATCATCCACTGGCCTATGTCTTCACGCTGACCGCTCATTCCCTTTTGGCATCCTGGTATCATTCCTGCCCCCTTCTCCCCTCAGTATATGTGTCTCTGTGTCATGTAAGTATTTGTTAGATGATGGCAGTCTAGGGGATGTTTCAGTTAGTGGAAATTATTTCTCTAAAGAGGAATCCTGGGACAATGATGTGAAAGAAAGGTCTCTCACTCCAGGGATTTAACAAGTGGACAAAGGAAGGGGAACTTGGGACAGAGGTCCATAGGCAGATTAGAACACAAGTGACTTTAAGTTTCAGGAAGCATCTAAAGGAAAATTTCTGAACCGGATTCGGTATCACAGAAATCTGTACTTAAAACTGCTTAAGGCATTCACCCAAATCACAATTAAAAAAAAAAAAAAAAAAGAAGAATAAAAAACTGCTTAAGGCAGGTAAGGTTTCTCTAGGTCTCGCTTTGAGTACTGAGCTTCAAAAGGAAGAATCAGAAATTCAATTTTGAACCTCTAAGCTTAAAAGATCTTCTTAATAATCAACTCAGAATAAAACCACTCCTCATTCCAGGAATTTTAAACAGTGTAAGAGTTCAGTGAAAACCCTCACCATGGACCCGCAGGAGAGCAGCTCTATTCCCTCCTGGATTCTAACACCCTCACTCCCAAATACCATTATGCTTTTCTGTACAAATCACTACCTGGGACTGAATCTAAGGCAAGTTTTCTGAGATTTTTAAAGAGGAGGGAGAGCTTTTAACTGAATTTGGGTGGACTGGTGAGTGGTTCATTGTTCCAATTCCAGCAACTCTGACACTTCATAGTGTTGAATGGGGCATACTCAAAATGTGGAACCTAACTGAATATAAGAAGCTGTTCTAATACCTGTAATTTACTGTTTTAACACTTTTATTATTAATAGTATTCTTGCTTTGTATGTATCATTCACTCTATAATAGTGATCCACAATCTGGTTTCCATACTCAAAGGCAATCAAAATGATCTTCTCAAAAAAAATCCAGTTTTGTTATTTTGTTTACATTTTTCTACATTCTTATATGTTGCCTTTGAGACTGAGAATCATTAGCTCATCAATTTTAATCTGGCTGCCACAAAAAATTCAGAGCTAAACTCAGTGCTCATTTATAATAACACTATTTGCTTGGATGGCTGATGTATTTGCTTTATTTTCTTGCAATACGGAAGCTAAACCTTATTATATTCATGACTTTTGAAAGTAGCTTCAAACACTTTTTGAAATGAAATAAATTCTACATTTAAAAAGACAACCACCATATTTCTCTATTTGATACTTTCTGGTGACTGTTTTCAATGTCATTTTGCATTGAGACTCTTCTTAGATCCCTTCTTCTCTTCCTCCTTCAGACCATTAACTGTGACCATCTTACTTACTAGTCTTCATTTTGGGAGAGGTGCAGAAAATTAAATCCCAGACCTTGTAACTGGCATATTTTCAGCAGTATTTCTGAACATAATAAAGTAAAATACATCTAAAGGGAGTTCAAAACCAGGGATGTTCATTGTTGTGCACTCAAGGGTGCCACACTCAACGGGACAGCAAGACATTGTTGTCATAAATATACTCTAGAAGCTTACAACCATAAAGTGTACTGTGCTTAATAAAATCAGTATATTACAGGAATTTCCTGACATATGAAAGTCAAATGCCCTAAGTAATAGGTGTTTCTATTACCTTGCATTAAAGTTATGAGCTAGTAGAAGCTCTGTACAACACGTAGTCCTAATTTTCCAGGACATCAATGCCATTCTTCAAACCCCTAACCCTGCCTGAAACACTGGAATCACTATTACAGCTGTAGTGGTACAGCACCTAAGCCATTTATTTAACTGCTAACCAGAGGGTTGGTGGTTCAAACCCACCAGCTGCTCCGTGGAAGGAATATGGGGCAATCTACTTCCATAAAGATTTACTGCCTTGGAAAACCAACAAAGTCACTATGAGTTGGAATCGACTTGGTGCAGTGAGTTTTGTTTTTGTTTTTTTTGCTCCCTCTAACTCATTATCAAGTTCTAGGAGTTCTTCTACAGCCCTTCTAGATCTGCTCCTCCCTTTCAATTTCAAATGTCACAGTGTTAGTCCTAACCCTCTCACCTTCAGATGACTACTTTTCTCAAATGTTCTCATCACTAATCTTGCACTGAAACCATTATTTATTATATGAACCTGTGTGTGCACGCGTGCACACACACACACACACACAGTTTTCTAATTTAGGGTGATAACACCTCTACCATATGCCAGGTACTGTGCTAAACACTATCTATGCACTCTCATTTAATATTCAAACTGTGAAATCCAGGCACAATTACTATCCCAACTGTGCAGATGCAAAAGGTGAGTCTTAGAGCAATTATGTCAACATCTAAGGCCAGAAAGTAAGTAGTAGAACTGAGACTTGAGTTAGCTGACAGTCATCTTACTGTTTGGATCATGTCCCTCCCTTTCCCATAGGTCAGCAGTTACCAAAGGCCTCTCCAATCAAAGTTAGCCCTGCTCAGAGGCTTACAATGCTCCATCATTTTTAGCTCCCTGGCCCAAGAGCTTTAGTGGTGCTTGCTATTATTAAGCTAAGTAAGCCCAAAGACTTGTTATGTTTCACCTTGAAATCTTTAAAGAATGACCTTTTTATTTATCTTTTCCAATGAGACTTCTCAGACTATTAACATCTGACTAAAAACATAATGAAATCTACTCAATCCTTATGGATGTCAAAAGGCACTACTTCCAGGAAATAATCAGAACTACATTTATTGAGTACTTACTGCTTCCAGGACCTGTTCTAAGGGCTTTATACACATTAGCCAATTTCTTTTCCTACTAACACCCAGAATCAGTGCCATACGGTATGAATGCTAAAAAAGAAAAAGAAGCCACAACCTTTTTTTCTTAGATTTATCATCTAAGGAAGAAATTTTTTCTTAAGGAAAAAGTTAGGAAGATGACAGTGATAACAGTAATTTTCTAGAGTGGACTACATATGGTAGCAACATGGTAGACAACACTGAACTTTCAAAGAAAAGCACAGAGAAGACATAATTTTTCCTAAAACTAATTGGCAATCATGCAACATTTCTATATAAATGTGTAATTGTGTACCTAATGCAATTATTTTATTACGTTGTTCCCACATACAATTTTCATTTGTTTTTCAACCTGCCTCTTTCCCTGGACAGTAAGTTCCTGGCAGGTAGAAGAGATGACAGAATTTCCACCTTTATGACTTGTGAGAGCACAGTCAGTGTTGTACAAGCAGCTGATGCTCTGTGAATGCTGGGTAACAAATGTGAAAACAAAAGCACTACATGATTACTACTAGGCCCAAGACAAGGCAACTCATAGTTGTTTTTAAAATCCTAAGAAACATGCAAAAGAATGGATTTTTTAAAAAAATAAGACGTGGACACAATCAGAGACTGAGGAAATGTACTTATGCTCTAGAAGCACTACCCAGTGCATAGGTGTCCACAGGCAGAGATATCTTTGGATTGTCAATATGGATTCTGATCCAACCGCCATTCCCAATCTGTAAAAAACATCCCTGAAAGGAAATCAGCACACAGCAGTCCCTGGACACTAGCAATGCCACCATAGCATCAGCCTCATCAGCCTCTACCTTTAGTTGCAGAAGCATAACCACAATGATTGGTGAGGGGGCGTTCTGCCCCTGGAAAAACTAGCAACAAATTAAGGCTATATTTGAACGTATCTAGGCTAACTAATTTTGAATTTATTTTACTTACTTCTACACTGTACTGCTTTCTTTATTCATAAAACGAACTGGCACTCAAAGAATCCTTTATTTTTATATGCTTAGTAAGGCTTCACTTTTCACCTAATCAGTACTGACCATGCCACAGAAGAGTTACACTTTCAAAAGTATGTTTATGCATAAAAAAAGGACTGCACACCTGGACAGCCTCCTGAGACCCAACATTTCACTGTCATGAGTGTTCCTGGGAAAGCAGAAATAAACATTACATGTGAAGAAAAATAAAACAAAGCAACATTGGAGGGTCATATATAACCAAACACAGTCGAGAAAAAAAAGAATTATTCAGTCCAGAAGATAAAAGACATTAAGAATACTTGGAACACTTCAACATAGAAGACAATGGATAGATTTTTGGATAAAGGAGTAGGGAATGAGGGAGAAGAACACACTTCTAGAATGAAGTAGAACATACCCGCATTCAATTTTCTCACACTCTTTGGTGCTAAAAAAGTAAAGTGTAGATAGAATCATATGCACTACTCAAGAGTCAGATTCAGTGGTACTTGCAAAAGTTGACCCTGACTTCTCTGGTTGAGCTTAACTTAACCTCCTAGGCTGCTGTGTTTGCTTGGATTCTAGAGAGTCTACTTCTTATTAATAAAACTGCTCAACATAAAAGGCTTATCATATTATTTCTTTTGTCATAGTCCAAAGTGTAGGACTTGCTTCTCTCAACCTTTTAACTAACCCAGGTTTGTTCTGTTATTGCTTTAGCAGATGATTTGTATTTGTTCTCCTCTTGTATTTTCCACTTTATTACAAAAATACTTCTTAAGAAACCTGTTCATCAAGAGACTTTTAATCTGAAGTGGGACTTTATAATTTCAAGAACATAATGCTCAGTTTTCTTTTTAGGGGCATAACTTTCATCTAAACTACCTGAGATGTCCCACAAACTGTACGCCACAGAAATACAACTTCTAAGGATATGGCCTAGGCTAATGCTTCCTTGGAACTGTTTTCTTATCACTCAACTTTAAGATTGCTCTTTCGTTTAGTGTTGGCACTAAACTGTACCATCACTTTTGCCTCCATTACCTTCTTTTGTCTGAGAAGTTTTTATCTTTGATTGGTGACTGATCTGGAAAACACAGGTGATGCTGTAGTAGAGTTATATAATTACACTCAAAGATGTTCTTGATTTGATGTCTCTGATCTGGTTTCACATTTTTCCTCCGTTGTTCCTGGTATAACAAGGAATTAAGAACTTGGAAGGATGAAATTCATAGGCCAGTAATGGAGGCGACATCTCAGGGTATACCAATCGATTCAGTTACCATGGCATGGCATAGCATAGCAAAGTTATATTCAAAGCTAAAAAAAGTTTCTCAAATGCTATTTTTAAGAGGGAAAGACAGAACAGCTTCTCTTTTCTAAACACCTTTTTTTAAATCCTCTGATCTTAGTGAGTCTATATTATGTACAGAACTCTGTCAATAGTTACTGATGACTTCTTCACTCAACTTTGAATCTCTCAAGCCTTGCTACTAGCGATTAGCTTATTCTTTATTTAAGATACAATCCCTGGATTGACTGCTGCTGTGAAGATAGTAAGCCAGTTAAGCCTGAGAGAGAAGACAGTGTTCCACAATGATTATGCCAGAAACACCCTGGGGGTGAGGCAGAGATAAAAGAGATAGTCTTGTATGATTCCTTATAGGAGTCCAGCTTCAGGGTCTCAAAGAAAGATCCCCTTCCATAAAACCCATGAAAGTCAGGGTTAGGGTTAGGGAAGAGAAAAGAAATCCAAACAACTAGCTTAACATTTTATGAACTATAAGAAATTATCGTATGGTATTTTATAACCTGACATGCTTAAAATGGCAAACAGAGATGTATCGACAAGGAAAACAGAGGAATAAGAGCAATGACTCACTTCACTGCAGTGCTAGTATTGACCACTTCCTTACCTTTGCTGATCTGTATTCTATCTCTGCAATTCACATGCAGAAATTACCTAAATTAGATTTAAGCAGCACTCTTTAAAACATCTAGACAAAACAATGTTTTGCCAAGCTACACACAACACAGCTGTCATTTTATCTCCTGATATCTACAAGCAATATGGCACTTCCATTAAAAAAGAGCTAATCATCTAATTTATAAATGAATTCTAAAAGAAGATATGCTATCAAGTATTTCAAGCTTCTACGAGAATTCACACTTGATAGCTTAAAAAGACATTTTTCGTCACTAATCTGAAATGAAATAAACAGGAAGTGAGAAGAAATCTCCAGCTCAGGAGAGTATGTACCTTTTCCTTTTGGCACTACCGGTATCAGAGGTGGCTGAAGAGATCATGCTGTCTCCATCCTCAATGTCATCTCTCCTGGCAAGCTCCTTCTTCTTTGCCTAAAAAAAGAGCAGATCCCAGGAGTCAAGCTCACTCTGCTAAACACTCCGAGAATACATGAATTTTAAAGAGCTACACATATTGGATTCACTAAGAAAGATATAATCAAAAGCAGGATACACAAAATTAAAGAATCATTAAACATTTTCAATAATCTGATTTAACAAAGCTTGCATGGCAGAAAAGCAGGTTAATAAATGGATCAAGAGTTGCAGAATGAAGGGTAGTAGAACAGCATTTAAGACTATACATAGCACAGACATTGAGAGAAGCTGTAGGGGCATCCAACTCTGGTGCCCATATTTAAATAAAGCCAACTTAAAGAGGGTCTTTGGTGTCCTTGACTTCTAAGGGGCAGCGTGGCTAAGAAGAAAGAGAATTTGAAGTGGGAACTGAAAGAGCTACTTTTCAACACATGCATTTTTAACAACTTCCTGCCAAAGAGAGCTGAAAAGACCAACCACAGCAGGCTTAGGGAATACACACAGAGTACTTGAAATGCACAGTCTGTTTAAAAATCACAAGGTTGACCATACAAAATGAAGATTCTACGAGTGATCTAAAATTGCCATGTTGCTTCCTTGCTCTGAGACTCTCCTTCCAGCAAGATTCTATCAAAAACTGCCAGGTCAACCCAATTTGTATTTCATACCTATGCCTTCTTTTCTCAAGATCCTTAAATAACCTGTGACCTCAGATGCTCTTCAAGATGTGCCCTCAGAAAGGATTTGATAAACTAGTGAATACTGTACAATGATTAATTAGCCTTAAAATGTTCTTTAGCCTACTATAAGCTCTACCCTAAAAGAGACAAGGTCTAGAACCAAAGGAGTAAAGCCTAATGACGGACTGTAATTATGTGACTAGAGAGAAACTTCCTAAGTATCCTAAAATTATCCACTTGGGACAAATCCTTGCTTCTTCCACTCACAAAGCCAACTCTAAACTACAGTGAAATGTGAGAGGGCTGGAACTCGCCAGACTGCCTTGTTTTTCCAGGTTTTACAAGTTTTCCATCTCTGACAGGGTGCAGTCTTACCACTTTTCGATCGCTGTTAGTAGAAAATATTTGAGTTTTCCTTTCCTGAAGGTTTCCTTCTCACACAGGTTCCAGCTTTTGCAGGTTCTACTGTATTATTTCTACATGGCCCTCCAACTCCAAAAAATATTCAGCAGTACTTACAGTTGAAATGAATGTCATATTGCTTGGAAAAATTATATACCATTATATATTCTACACTCACAACATGTAAACTTATTTCAATTATACAAACAATAAACTTAGCAAAACTAAGAAATCTTACCTGCATGACTTGCTGCAACTTTAAAACTCGCTTGTAGATGGCTGAATTGGGAACATTATAACGTTTGGCATTTTCAAACATTAAATTCAGATCACACTCCAAGTGATCTAAGGTTTCATATTCTTGGTTCTTTAGCTTGGTTCTGTGAAAGACAAGCACATATCTTTAATTTTCCTCAGCCACTATGAAGTATCCTTACTGAAAGTCCAGTGTAAAATCCTTACAAGCACTAGATGGCACCTTTACTAAAAACAAAACCCATTCCTATTGAGTTAATTCTGACTCATAGTGACCCTACAGGAGAGAGGAGTGCTCCATAAGGTTTCCTAGGCTGTAATCTTTAGTGAAGCAGATTTCTACATCTTCCTCTCAGAACAGCTGGTGTGTTCAAATGGCCAAATTTCTGATTAGCAGCAAGCGCTTAACCAATGTGCCATCAGGGCTCCTTGGAATATTTGCTAGTGAAACTGACTATAGGACTGGAAGTGACACTAAAAATGAAGAGGCAAAAACAGCTAATACATAGGCAATAAAACAGTTTACCTGAAAATCCAAAAGAATAAACCAAAACACTGAAAGAAGTAATAAGGAGATCAAGTAAGGTGGTAAGTTACAAAGCAAATATACTAGAAAAAACTCTTAATGTAGTCCCTTTTAGAGGCCAACATGTGAACCCTAGGAACAAACAAAAATCAGGGAGCAAAAATCAGGGAGATTTTAAACTACCTCACTGAAGAAGTATGATGACCTACCCTTTTATGAAAATAAGAGGCCATTCTAGTTCATGAGAGTTAAAGAAAAAGGAAAGTCCTGATAACACCTGGAAGAAGCATTTAGAATAATGTATTTACCTTTAGAGGAAATACCCATGGACAATGATGAGTGGTCTTACCAAGGGTAATGAGAGGCAGAAAGTCAGAGTCCATTCCAGTTTTCCAACATAAACATGTGTAACTAACTATGAAGGTTTAAATACTGAGACTTTCTACTTAAAAGTTTTAAAAATTTAAATACCTCTTTCAGAAATCAGTGCTATTACTTATACCAACCTTTGTACTCTATATAAAGTAAAAAGTCACAGCTTGTCCTCATTCTATATGCAACCGTACAGGACAGATTTTTAAATCTTTTGATTGAAGCAAAACATGCTTACCTTCAAAGTTACAAGAAATAGTCTTAAGTAAAGAGCAACAACACGCCTAAAAAGCCTCACATGATGAATGCAGAGTCCAAACTTTTCTTTTAGAATGGCACCATCTATTTACTATGTACATAAGTTTTATATAAAATTTATCCAAACTACATGTAGGTTCTATGAAGCACTTAAAGCAATATGAGTGTTAGAGAACATCTCTGGAGTGAAGCAAAAACAACAACAAAGTACAAACCTAACTATCAGTATCAGCTTACATTGCTAGCACCAGAGTTTATATTACAGTCTCAGATTTAATGGGTAAAGTGCTGGGTGTTCTCAAACTTGAGTATCCATGAGGATACTCATGGGTTGAGAACCCTAACTTGTAAATTACAACCTACGCTAGTAATAAACCTGCAGATATCTACCAGATTAATGTTAATGAAAGGTAGTGGGATCTGCCTTGAGCATTGTGCTCCTTTAAAGAACTATCTATATGGGATCAACAACAGCAACTCAAAAACACAGAAAGCTTAAAGGGTAGTGAATATACATTAATGAGGGAGGAACAACTCAGAAAGTGGGGAGAATAGTTGCACAACTTGGGAATGTAATCACTGTCACTGTACTGTACATGCAGAAACTGTTGAATTGGTGTATGCTCTGTGTGCATACTTTGAATAACAATAAAAAGGAAAGAATTAAAAAAAAAACAAGGATAGTGGGGGGAGGGAAGGGCGGAATGGGAAATGAAACACGGGATGACAAACCTTAACACAGTAGAAGGTGGCATGTGGAACAACACAACCTAGGTCTTGCCATTCTTCCATTTTTGGTGCTTTTAGGGAGATTCAACTATCTTATGTTAACAAATAGTCCTAGGCCTGCAGTGATTAATAAATACTTCAGTAAGTATTTATATTAGAATTAATAAGACTTAAAATCTAGTTCCTTAGTCACATTAGCCACATTTCAAGTACTAAACAGTCACGTGACTAGTGGCTATCATACTGGACACTGCAGACAGAAAACATTTCGAACAGCACAGAAAATTCAGCAAGCTACTGTCAAGTAACACGTATGTGCTAGAGCCCAGGTTCAGCACGTGTCCCTAGGGAGGTGTTTTGGTTACATAGTGCTGCTCTAATAGAAAATACCACAAATGTGGATGGCTTGAACAAACAGGAGTTCATTCTCTTACAGCTTGGAGACCTTAAGTCCAAGTTCAAAGTGCCAGGCTCTAGGGGCTGGGTGAAAGCCCCTCAACCCTGAGGTTCAGCTCTGCCTCCTACTCCCAGCCCACTGGAGCTAGAGGCTTTTCTTCACTCAGAAAGCTGCTGGCTGCTGAGACTAACAAGCCCAAGGTCGACAAATAAAATGGCACAGTCCCGATGTTACCAAACCACAATTAATGGCAGACCATTAATTCAAGTCCGTTGTAAGTCCCGAGGTCGCCAGACCATGTCAGGCTGCTGAACAACGACACGGCTACACGCAGGATCCAAGCATGGCATAAGCTGGAGACCATTCCCAAAGCTGCTTCTTATATACGGGAAGCAGACCACAGACCCAAAGCAGCTACTCAGTTGCTCCAACAGATTCCACCACGGAGTTCATTACCAATCTCATCATGGGGAATAACTACATTCAGCTGCCTAGCCACTCAACCAGGCCCAGCCAAGTTGACACACAAGCGTAACCACCACAGAAGGTAAGGTTAGACTTCCTAAAAGTTGACCCTTCAGAACTCTAAAGTGCTGTTGGCTAGGGCTCAGACACTTCCTTATTCCTCATAGTCCTCTATCTGTGTACCACATAACTGACACAGTAAATCTAAAAAAGGAAAAAAAGGTGCAGAATTGTAGTACTGATTTAGCAAAGTTTATATTAGAAAATTCCAACTTGGAAAGGTATAAGCACAGGACTGAATTGGCTGACAATCTGTCTCCTTCTGAGCTGAATTAATTAGACTATTTGAAGAAAAAAAGACAGAGGGAGAAAAGAAACAAAGATAAAAATTGTTTAATTAAAAGGAAACCTCTAAATTTACATATTTTAAGAGGCACAAATAAACTGATATTCTGTTTGCTACTTGTAATACAAGATGTCCAAAGTCTAGTGTAAACAAAAAAGCACAATAAATTTTTTTCTTTAATTTTTCTTGTGATTTGGGTGAAAGTTTGTCGAGCAAATTCATCTTCCATACAGCAGTTTCCATACACTTTGTCTCATGACATTGACTGCAATTTCCCACAATGTAACAGCTCTCTTCCCACTTCCTCCCCATAGTTACCTCTTCCTTGTGTCCTTCCCTCCCATGCACTCCTGCTCTGAGCTGTCTCCCTGTGCATACACTGTCCTTCTGTTCTCCCATGTCTGATCTCTCCAAGGAGTGTAATCTACCTGATGCAAATGTTCAGCGCATATGCCTGTCTTTTATTTGGTTGGAAGCCACAGGAGTGAATTCAATTCCAGACCTGAAGGGCAGCTAGGGGCTACAGACTCAGAGGTTTCACAGGCTCTATCAGATACTGCCTCGGAAACCCAAGGAGGGGTCGCTATGAGTCGGGTTTGACTCGACGGCACATAACAACAACAACAACATCAGACCAGCAAACCTGGTCTTTTTTTTTTTTTTTTTAAATAGTTTTGAGTTTTGTTCCACCTTGTTTTCTCCCTGTCCAGGATCTGAGGAGGCGACAGTGGTAGCTGGATTCCATCCAGTTCTTCTGGTCTCAGTCGTATAGGCTGAGGATCGCATGGTCTACCAGTCCCTTGGACTAACTGTTTCCATGCGTCTTTGGTTTTTCTTCATTCTTCTTTGCTCAGGACGAGAAGACCCATCGTTGCATCTAGATGGCCACTTGTAAGCTTTTAAGATCCCAGTCACTCCTCACCAAAGTAGGTGGTGGAACAATGTTTTGTGTAGTATGTTATGCCAATTGAGCTTGATGTCCCCTGCGACCATGGTCCCGAACCCACGGGTCCAACTACTCGCTTCCTCTGGGTAGCTGGCTATGGCCAAGAAGTGTCCATAACCTTCCCTTGTCAACTCTATTATGGAATTCTTATAGCACATACAAATACTCTTGTAGAAACATTGTCTGCCAACTCTATACATGGTCATGGGCACACCTGCCCCTGCATAGACATACTGAACGCTCAGCCTGTCCATCCATCTATCCACCCATGTATCAATGTTTGCTATCAATGATAATTCAGTGCTTATGTGCAAAAGGGTTCATTTTTGTTGTCTGTACTTCCTATGTACCTCTCTTTGATCTACCTCTTCCTCAATGCAACCATGTTGCTCACTAACATTTGGTACAGTACCCTTCCCTTCACCCAAATCAATACTTGGTTTCTACCTATCTAGCAGTGTTCTCCACCCCTACCCCTGGTAACCAAAAAAGAAAGTTTCGTTCCATAGATAAACCTTTCCTTTGACTCTTTACAATAGCGAACTAACACAATTATTTTTCTTTCTGTGACATAATGTTTCACTCAGCATAATGTCCTCTCAGCTCATCCATGTTACGCAGTGTTTGGCCAATTTTATGTTATTCTTTAGGGTTGTACAGTATTCCATAGTTTGGTTATCCATTCTTCTGTTGATGGGCACCTAGGTTGTTTCCATCTTTTTGCTATTGTAAATAGTGCTGTGATGAACATGGGTCTGCATATATCTGTTCTTGTCCTGGCTCTCACTTCTTTAGGATATATACCTAGTAATGGGATTGCCGGATCAAATGGTATTTCTAACTCCAACTTTTCAAGGAATCGCCATGCTGCTTTCCACAGTAGTAGTAACATTTTACAGTTCCACCAGCAGTGTATGAGTGTCCCAATCTCTCCACATCCTTGCCAGCATTTGTTATTTTCTGTCTTGTTGAACTTTGCTGTTAGGGCTGGGGCCAGATGGTGTCTCATGGTTGTTTTGATTTCTATCTCTCTGATGGCTAACGATTGTGAGCATTTCCTCATGTTTGCTGGCCGCCTGAATATCCTCTTTGGTGAAATGTCTATTCATGTCTTCTGCCCATCCTTGCATACCTGGTATGAACCCCACTTGGTCACAATGTATTATTTTTTAGATATGTTACTGGAGTCTATTGGCTAGGATTTTGTTGAAGATTTTTCAGCTATATTCATGAGGGATACTGGTCTGTAGTTTTCCTTTTGAGTGATTGATGCCTTTGCCTGGTTTTGGTATCAAGGTTATATTTGCTTCATAAAATGAGTTAGGGAGGATTCCACCCTTTTCTATGCTCTGGAATAGTTTGAGTAGGAATGGTGTCAGTTCTTCTCTGAATGTTTGGTATAATTCTCCAGTGAAACTCTGGGCCAGGACTTTATTTTTGGTGGTAATTTTTTGATGACCTGTCCAATTTCTTCTTTTGTTATGGGTCTGTTCAAATCTTCTACCTCAGTCTGTGTCAGTTTAAGTAAGTAGTATATTTCCAGAAATCTGTCCATTTCTTCTAGATTTTCAAATTTGTTGGAGTACAGTTCTTCATAGTATCCTGATATTATCCTTTTTATTTCAGTGTGTTCTGTTGTGATGTTGCCCATCTTGTTTCTTATTCATGTTATTTGTATTCTCTCCCTCTTTTCTTCTGTTAAATTTGCCTGTGGTTTGTCAATTTTATTAATCTTTTCAAAAAACCAACTTCTAGTCTTGTTTTTTTTTCTATTATCTTTCTACTTTCTGCTTCAATTATTTCTGTTTGAATGTTTATTATTTCTTTCCTTCTCATGACTGTAGGTTTTTTTTTGCTGCGCTTTTTCTAACTGTTGGAGATGTTGGGTTAAGGTGTTGATTTTGGCTGTTCTTTCTTGATGTGTGCATTTATTGCTATAAAAGGGCCTCTGATCACTGCTTTTATTGTGTCCCCAAAATTCTGGTATGTTGTGTTTTCATTCTCGTTTGATTCAAGGAATTCTTTAATTTCACTTTTTATTTCTTCTATTACCCAGTTGTTTTTAAGGAAAGTGTTACTCAGTTTCCGTGTGTTTGCTCTCTTTCTGTTTATCTTCCTGTTGCTGATTACCAATTTGATAGCATTGTGATCTGAGAAGATGTTTTGCAGTATTTCAGTTTTTTAAAATTTATTAAGTCTTGATTAATAAACATATGGTCTATCACGGAGAATGTTCCATGTGCATTGGAAAAGAATGTGTACTATGCTGTTGTTGGGTGAAGTGCTCTGTAGATGTCTATAAGGTTAAATTGGTGAACTGTATTATCTAGTTCTTCCTGCATCTTTGTTGAGTTTCTTCCTATTGTTCTATCTTTCACTGAAAGTGGTATATTAAAGTCTCCTACTATATCTGTGGAATCATACAGTTGTCTTTTCAATTCTGTTAAAGTCTGATTTATGTATTTTGGGGCTCTTTCATTGGGTCCATAGATATTTATTATGGTTAT